ATTAGTCGAGAAAACAATGTAAATGGTAAATCAGAAATAAAAAGAAAAATGAAATCTATGCGTGCAGGAGAAAAACTGCTAATAAAGCTGAGTGTGAAGCTTTCTGTATTTATCTATAAATGCACTTAAATGCATGGGTTTTTAATAATATCCTCACGCACCATGTGGCTGTACTTAAAGCAACCAGATGGCTTGTAGTAACTGAATAGTATTTATTTTGATATTTTAATTGATATTTATTTAGCTGCAGGAAGCCTTCAAAAAGGATTCAATAATGTCCTTTTGACTGTGACGACGACGCCTCGGGCTCAGTTTCAAACAGCACAAAATACACATCAAACTAAAGAAGTTTAAAGCAGAATCATTTTCTACATAAAATGACAGCTTATTTAAAATAATGTGTTTTTATGGCAGAGATATACGAAGCTCTAATTAAGTATAGGTAGGAACCAAACCAGAGTGACAGGCTTCAGCACTGTCACGGTCGACAGCAGGGACTCGAGCGCAGAGCAGGTTGATGTTTCCAAACACAGTTTATTTACAACAGCAGCGCAGAATAAATACAGTGAGGGGGGAAATCCAGGGTTCCAAAGGTCCAAGAGGAAGCTCTCTCACACTCGTTCTCGTCTTCACGTCCAAACTCACACACGTTCGCACAGCAGGAAGGTCACAGGTCCGGGGAGGAAAACTATCACACAGGAGAGGGAAATTACTCACAAGGTACAAAACACTTCAGCACAGATTCGCTGGAGCTGAGAGGATGACTAACGTGTCCCAATCATCCAGCGACGAGAAGGTCTTTGTCCCAGCCTCAAATAGCGGACAGGTAATGACAACTAATCGCGAACAGGTGTGTGGGCCAAGGGCGGGAGCCCGCAGTGAGCTCCGCCCAGGCAGAGCGGAGAGAGAGGGAGAAAGAATACAGAACACATGCAGCCTTGGGGGCCGGCTGGGCGGACACGGGCACCATGACAAGCACTATTCTTATTTTAAGTAATGATAAGGTTTCTGTCATCTGGCCTCTCATCAGTGTTGTAAACCATAAACTGGGATGTAGCACAAATGTTAATCTCAGGAAAGTGCAGCATGTACCCCAAACTGAACTTTTATTAGTGCAGCAAATGAGAAAAATGTTCATACAAACGTGTTTGTGAAAATCAGGGACAGTAATTGTTCCCTTCAGAGGTTGACTGCAACCACAGTCACTGCAAACTCTGCTTTATTTTACTGCACTACAATCAAAGGATACTGTGAATTATGATGCACAATTAAATAATGAAACTGCACAGTTATTAGAAAAAGCCCTTTTCATGAGGTGCTTAATGTATTATTAATACATGATACCCACACAGATGAAAAACGACATCAGTTATGACAGATAATCTGAAGTATCTGTAAGCTGTCAGTTCTCTGGATGCTGCTTTTTAAAAGGAAAACTTCAATCAAACACAGTCTGCTAAATCAAACTCTTTAGAAATGTTCTCCTGCACACATTTCTGCAAAGGCTGGAATAATTCTTCAAAGTAAGACACGAGAAATATGAATTTAAGCTACTTGACAGTGCACTGCCTTCAAACACACACAGTGTCCAATCAGAGTCTGTGTGTAGGCTGGTGTAATGAGGTGAAGACAGTTGTCCATTACTTCCTGAGTTGATGGGCTCCTCACAGCAGTGCAGCCACAGCTGGAGGAGAGGGGGTGGAGGCACCATGAGGAGAGTATCAGACACATTCAGCCATATTCCTGCTCTGTGTTTGTCACAGCTTATTTGACTCCCACATATAATGTCATCAGTGAAATAATCATAATGCACTTTTTACTTACACAGCAAGTATCTCACAAGTTGTTCTTTTCTTTTCTACTTTTATACAGTAAGAAAAGTGTAACAATTTATTCTCAGGAACAGGAAAGAAACGGGAACGCAGCACTCCGTCACATCCACACACAGTTCCATCCAATTTAAAACCTGATCCTTGTTGTTAAATGAGAGAGATGAGGAGGCAGGAAGATCGTGCCACGATATAACATCTTCATTCATGCAAAGCTAGGACGACGCAGTAATGCAGATGTCACTTTCTATTCATACATATAATTACTTTGACTCTGGGTAGTATGATGTTGACTGTAAAGATGCTCAACAACTAACTGCAGTCACGATGCCAGCATCACAGTGATGAATGAAAACGCTGGTCACACACTCGGTTTGGCACACAGTCGTGTTGTCAGAGAAAACTTTGTGTTTCAGGAGTGTTTAAATTAGCAAGTTTCATAAGAATAAACAATTTGACAGGACGCAGGACAAACTTTTGCTGTGACATCAAATAAAAGAACAGGTCTGTGTCGCCATCTAGAGGTGAAAAGGTGCAACGTCATCACAGGATTTCTACAGGTTTACGCTTCATGTCAACTCAAAAAAGCACACACGATACAATCCAAGCAGCAGCATCGTTTTCCCTTCAAACAGAAAGCAGATTTTATTCCAGTTTTATGTTTTGAATTAAAATGTTGGGCTGTAAAATCCAGTTTAACCTGCAGCTTTGGAAACTGATGTTTTTCTCCTTTCAGAGGACAATATTGCCTCGCAGTGTCACATGACGGGATTAAGGTAATGTTTGATTTTTTTTATTTTGACAAAAGAAAAGAAAAACATCCCTCAAATGACTGAAGCCCCAAATCTCTTGCTATTGATGCATTATGCATGAAGTGGTGACGTATGGATGTGTGCACGCATATGTATACATATTTGGTGTATGTGTATTTGTACATGTATGTGTGCATGTATATGTCTATACTTATAGTTATCTGTTACTTACACAGTAAGAGTAGAATAGTTGAAATTTAATACTTGCATATTTCCACAAGCCTCATATGGATAGTAGATGGAAAATATATAACATGTTCAGAACCTCAGCTACTGTTGCATGTCCTTGTTGTATTATCTTGTTTATTTTGTATTACTTGACTGTATTCTGGTATACTCTTTGTACTCTTCTGATATCTGTACCTGAGCTGTGGTAACGCACAGGCTTCCCCGCCGTGGGATCAATAACGTCTCATCTTATTGCAAAATCGCTTAATGAAACCTCTGAACAGCGTGCGTGAGTGCACACACCAGGCTGCTTGTCCACTTAGTTTGGTTGAACATATAGAGTGTGTAACATCTGATGCCCCAGTACCCGCAAAAAGTTGTGAAATATAATTTAAAAATATACAGCACTGTGCAAAGGTTTTAGGCAGGTGAGGAAAAAATGCTGTAAACAAAGAATGCTTTCACAAACAAAAGTATTGTTTCTTTTCATCAATCAACAAAATGCAGAGAATGAAAGAAAGAGAAATTAAATCACATCCACATTTGGTGTGAGCAGCCTTGGCCTTCTTCTAGGTACACTGGCACACAGTTTTTGAAGGAACTCGGCTGGTAAGGACCAAAAAGCTCTTCAGAGTTATCCATACAGCAGAACGCTGCTGCAGGGCTGCTCTCCCCTCGCTACAGGACATTTACACCAGGAGATGCTGGTCCAGAGCAGCTCACATACTGAAGGATCCGTCCCATCCCAGCAACAAACTGTCCCAACTTCTGCAATCAGGCAGAAGGTGCAACACCACCCGAGCAACAGAGAGGCTGAAGAGGAGCTTCTCTCCTGTCATTGTTACCACATTCTTATATCACGGCTGAGCCTTCTGGCTTCACTACAGCACACTTTAACACCCCACTCACACAGTGCTCAGATTTTGAACTGTAAATTTCCAGATTGTTTTATTTATATAATGTATGTATCTCACTCACTGAATATAATGTTCTCTCTCTTTTTGCACAGTCGAGCGTATCAGGTCACCTGCGTGTTGTACTTTTATTAGGGGTGGCTGTAGCCACTGTAGGGCAAGATACTAACCCCATGTTTGCCTGATGGTGGTGGTCAGAGGGCCCGGTGGCGCCAGTGTCCGGCAGCCTCGCCTCTGTCAGTGCGCCCCAGGGTGGCTGTGGCTACAATGTAGCTTGCCATCACCAGTGTGTGGATGACTGGATGTGGAAAGCGCTTTGGGGTCCATAGGGACCAGAGATGGGCAGTAACGCGTTACTGTAATCTGATTACTTTTTTCAAGTAACGAGTAATAAGGGATTACTATTGCAAAAACGGTAATTAGATTACCGTTACTTTCCCGTAGGAACGCTGCGTTACTGCGTTACTAAAACCGTGATTTTTTGCGAGAATGTCTCATGACAGTGACGTAAGCGAGTGCGACGTTCGTGACAACAGCTGTGTGCAGATCAACAATGGATCAATATCGAGTGCAGAGAGAGTATGAGCGTGCAGCGTTTAAAGCGTGGAAGTACTGACCTTACTTTGAGTTTGATTCCATAAAAAGTGACAAAAACATTAGTGTCCGCTGTGCGTGGGAAGAAAACTTCTTTTTACAGCGAAAAAACCCCTAAACTTCCAACAAGCACCGAGTAGCTACGACGTAATGGGAAACTCACAGAGAAACTCGCGGATTCTTCCACTGACCGCGGCACACCTGCACCAGGGTAACCCTCCGCCTCCCCACTCCTGCTTTACAGGTGAAAATAGAGCAACAGGACCGCTGAGTCTTTGACTTTATTTATTTTCTGCTGTGTTTTACTTGCATCTATTTGAAAGACTGAGTGTAAACACAAAAATATTTTATTTTATGTGCTGGAATGTGCAGAAAATAGGTTTAAATGTTAAACTAATTTCTTCCAGTCAGAGAATGTTGCAATAATTAATTTTTGCTTGATGCATAAAGTTAAAAGATTAAAACTAATAAAACAAGTTTTAAAAAGAGACTTTTCCATTTGATTACATTTTGTATGATGGATTATGCAGAAAAAGTAGAATTGGGCTGAAAGATCTATCGCTTTATCACCTCTTCAGGTTGTACATCGTGTTTTTAAAAAGTAACTAAGTAACTAAGTAATTAATTACTTTTGAAAATAAGTAATCAGTAAAGTAACGGGATTACTTTTGGGGGAGGTAATCAGTAATTAGTTACTGATTACTTTTTTCAAGTAACTTGACCAACACTGTTAGGGACTGAGTAAAAGCGCTATACAAATGCAGGCCATTTACCATTTTCTAACCATGTTCGTGACAAATAACGAATCTTGGTAGGTCGTTCCAAACATCTCGGAGAATCAAGCACAGATCTCCTGTGGATGTCGGCGTCCTCACATCCTTCTGTCTCTGATCCCAGACACACTCGATGTTGAGATCAGGGCTCTGTGGGGGCCGCACCATCACTTCCAGGACTTCTTGTTCGTCTTTACGCTGAAGATAGCGCTTCATGACTTTGGCTGTGTGTTTGGGTCGTTGTCCTGCTGCAGAATACATTTGGGGCCAATAAACAATCGTTTATATTTCTGAAAGCACCTTTCACCTGCCGAAAACCTTTTGCACAGGACTGTAAATAAATTAAAACCATATATAATAATCTTGATTGTTCACAGTAGAATATATGAACATATATAAACTGATAAACAAAGGCTAGACGAGCAGGTGGCAGTAAAAACAAACAGCTGGAACAACTGGCAACAGGTCAGCAACATGACTGTGTATAAAAAGAGCAAAGTAGAGACTCTGGTGTTTAAAACTACACTAAGATGTCAAAAGAACATTACAGCAAACACGCGACAGAAACTCACCAATACAAATGTACACAACTACTTCTGTGCCACTTAATATGCAGTTCGCTACCATGAAGCCTGGAAGCTGTTTCCTGTGTGTTACTGTACAGCAGCTCAGGCAAGCTTCCAGTATGGAAATAAAAATGAGTGCAGAAATCTCCATCCAGGCGAGAGCTTCAACTGGAGCTTAAAAAAAATCGTCATACAACTTTAAAAACCGATGCAGCGAAACCAAAGCCTGTCCAGGCCTCACCTGCTGCTGCAGCAGCTCGTTGTACAAAATACACAAAGGGTTCACTTTTATGTTTTATTCACTTAAATAGATTGATCAATACGTATGTGTTAGGAATTTGAGCACTAACATCTATTCAGACTCTTACAGAAAGATGCGTCAGTTTGGTGAACTTGTATCAAGATGTTCATTTTAATTCATAATAAAAGAAAAACGTCTTCTTTGAAAATATAATCGGGACTCCAAACCTGTTCAAACCGCACAGCAAAGGGAAAAGCGTACAGTGGTTCAAAAACATGAAGAAAACAACATTTTTACAGTATCTACAAAAGCGAAGCAAAGTGTTTGTCTTTGTGAGGCCTCAGCCTCCCGCGGCTCCAACAGAAAAAGGCTTCTTAACCAGATAAATGCTTTTCAGTAATGCTAATAAATATTAGCAACAAAACAACAGTGTGCTAGAAATTCTAGCAATGACAAAAAAAGCCACATATGATAAGTAGTTGTTTGTTCCAGACTCGTGTGCTCTGCCTGCATCACATATTTAACAGATATTAAGCTTAAAGGCTGAAACCCACAGTGTGTAACCAAACCTGTGGAGCCTTCTTACTCACATCAGACCTGCCATTTAGAAAATATGTGGTCACTGGACTTATAATGAAGAGAGTCGCATTTCTTTCATTTATGCTGGGAAATAGTTGGAGCTTAGTCTTGTGCTTTGATAGAAGGACTCTGTTTTGTTCCTGGGTCTTCTGACAAAGCTGATGGTTGCAATTCCAACGTCACAAGGACGATTATTTTACTGAAATGTACTGTACACGACAGCGATTTTACTGTGCACAGTGCAGGAAATGCAATTTAACAAATACACGTGTTTGTGTTCTGCCATGAAGATACTGCATGCATCATACAGAGTCCTTCAGAGTGACTGTTTTCATCTGTGGCACAAATAAAATTACACATGAATCAAGTTATATTTGAACCAGAAATATGGCTCCGAAGAACAAACCATTATAAAGTGAAATATCTGTTGTCCAGAGAAACTTCGAGAAATTTAAAGCACCATGTTGAAAAACTGTACAAAGCAAGTAGGCTCGAGGCGTTTAATACAGAAGACGTCCTGTTGCAGCCGTGATTGGGTATTGATTACTGCGTGGCTGTATTTGTGTGCAATCAGCTAAACGAACTACCTGATGGACCTGTGCAACACTCACCAACAGTTACAGACCCTAACATCCAAACTGCTGACGGACAAAACATAAAAAAGGCACCGATGCCTTGGGGGGGGGGAGGTGTCTTAACATTACCAGTCAAACCACCCACGGTGAGCTGAAGACATAACATCAACTTTCATTTATCTTCCAGCTAAATTTAGATAAAAACATAAAAAAGGATGCTTTTGCTCTAACATGAAGTGATGCACTGTTCATAACCTGCAAATTTGTGTGTGTGTGTGTGTGTGTGTGTGTGTGTGTGTGTGTGTGTGTGTGTGTGTGTGTCTCTCTCATTTCCTAATGCCGGGGGACACTCTGACGAAGAAGAGGAGCACCTGAGAAAACAAAGAGGCAAAAAACACGACTTTAGGACAAAAGTTTAAGAAAAGAAAGAGAAAAACCCGCCAAAAGAAACCAAAGACCAACCTGGAGACGACAGAAGTGGAGGGCGAGCGCTCTTTAGAGTGGGAGGGGCTCCTCTAGTGGGACCTCTGGGGCCTGGGTGGAACACAGGAGGAGGGTGGAGCAGGGGCCCACGAGGCACACCGGGACCGCCGTAAGGGATGTGTGACGACAGGGGACCTCGCACAATTGGGCCCCCTAACGACGGACCAGGAAGACGATGCAAGGAGAGCAGCGGAGGAGGTTTGGTTTTGGGATGAGCAACTAAAAATAAATAAAAAGAAGCAAATCAGCCTCTAGCTGTTCATGATTAGCAATGCCGTGCTAGGTTTTAGCGCTCTCACCAAAGTAGGACACCAGGACTTTTCATCATGCTTCACAGCCCCACAGCATTAAAGGTTTGATAGATTTAAAAAGATACAAAGAGGGAAAACCCAAACCTGGTGAAGGCAAGAGGGGTACAGGTGAAGGTGAGGCGTGGTCTCCCATGGGCCCCCCTGTTAAAGATGCAGGCTGAGGCTGTGGTGGCCCAGATGGAGTCGGAAGCAGAGGAGGTGGTTTCCCTAACCCTGGAGGTAACATGATCCCTTTCTCACCCTCACTGTTGGAAGCTGAAGAGATAAAACGCAGGTGAAACAGAGATATATGACCTAAGGACAAAGCAAAGCTGATACAAGAAGTCAAAGCTGAAACAGCGCTTCTGTAGGAACTGCTGTGTAATCGTTTCACCTTGTACGTGGTCCTGCCGAGAGCGCACGTACTCCGAGATGGTTTCCAACTCCTCGGGGTACAGATGGACACCCTCAGCGAACAGTACGAGGAGCTGACGTGTTTCAGAGGGAACGGTGTGGCGCGCGATCTTTTCTCGATCCAGAAAGTCATCGAGCAGCTGCGACGCCTCGGCTGCAATGTCTGCCGGGTCCCTCGGGGGTCGCTCTTTAGCCAGTCCACGGTTGTACTCTGCTAGAACAAAGTCCATGGCCTGGTCTTTGGGCATGTTTCGATGGACTGAGGAGGGAAAGGGAACGGTAACGGTGAAGTGTCATGAGGCTGAGGTGGGAGAAAGAGGTGAAAAAAGATTCCTTTCAGCTCGCGCTGAGATCGTTTCGATGTCAATGTTGGGATCAGCTGATTAAATTAGTATTTTGGTAAGTAATGCTTCGGGGGGTGGGGGTGGTGTTGGATTGCTGGATGTGTGGCACTGAGGGACATGCATTTTGTGCAAATAAGTGCATTTATCAGTAACTTTAATACAACCTGATTAATAAGTACTGAATTTATCTAAATGTGCATCCAGACATTTGATTCTAAATATAATGAATGGTGACGCTTTTTCAGCTTTGTTTCTGAGGACAGACAATTGTTTTTGTTGAATTGATCTAATTTTGGTTGAATTCACCTAACAATGTGTTTAACATTTGTGTTATAAAGATTAGGTCGTGTATGTGTGCTAATAAAGCATAAAATGTCATATTAAGCAGATCTAAAGCAAACTGCACATTATTACAACTTGAGTTTGATTTTATCCAGAGCCTGGGTCATGCCTCTGTAAAACCGGCCGCACGCTTCGTCCAGGAGGATACAAAAGATAAAAATGAAAATCCCCACAGCTACGAGGTTAGATCATAAAGGTCCATAAAACCATAACTGATTTAAATGTAGCCAGTTTCCTCCTCGTGATCATATTTAGAGCCTGGATCTGCATCAGATCAGATACTAAGTTCAGGTCAGCTTTGGAGTCGAGGATTACTCTGTTAAAAAGTGCTGCTTGTTCAGCTTCGACCTAAAATTTCTCAGTTTGAGAAACCACAGGCATCAGGAGCATGGTCACGGTCTCCTTTTGACATTCACAGCAAATCTGCTTCCCAGGTTCAGATGTGGAAATGCAGTCCGGCTGTAGGAGTCGTACCGTAGGAGAAAACTGGGTCAGCTGAACTGTGAAAGGATTTGTATACAATCTTCACACTAGGGCTGCCACAATTAGTCGACTAGTCACGATTACGTCGACTATCAACTAATCGACTAATTTAATAGTCGACGACTACTCTTATTATTCTTTCTGGGTCACAAAATAAACGTTTAACATCTTTTCAGGTGAGAATGTAGCTGTGTAAACCTCAAATATCTGCTCAGTTTATCAGGACACCGCATATTTTCAAAAGCGCTCCGACGTTTTCGGAGACGTCTGTTACCCACTAGCTCGATAGCTAGCCGGGGGCAAGGTCACTAGAGCCGTGAGAACACCGGACTCCCGGCACATCATTTTCAAACCCACCGCCGTCTTTCGCTACTCAGGTTAAACATGATATATGAGTCACTTAGATAACTTGAAAATGTTATTGTTTGGCTTTTTTCAGTGTTTTATTTGTTGATGAGATGAGATCGCCTTTATTTGTCAGTTCCAGGTCTTTTGCCCACAACCGAGATGACAGACCTTTATTTGTTCCTGAGTAAATCGGTTTGGCTGAGATTAAAGTTATTAGATTAGATTAGATAAAATAAAACTTTATTAATCCCCTGGGTGGTTTTCACACAGCTGAACAAACGTCAAACAGAAAACTGATTAAACAGAAGTATGAGATGGTCGAGAATTTACTCCGGTGTCCCGTTATATTTTAGGGAGCAAAGCGCAGACGACTGAGTTTATTAAACTCCACCGAAACAATCTGCAAATTTCATTAAAAGTTGAATAAACTATCATCTTGTCTTTATTTTTAGTTAGCACAGACCTTAAACACTTCCAGCTGTAAGCTAATGATGGTTATATACGAGCAGATGCTGCTGGTGCAATAAGCTGTACGTTTTCTGTCCAATGGATGATGATCTGATTAGTCGACTAATTACAAAATTAATCGGTGACTAGTCGGACTATCAAAATAATCGTTTGTGGCAGCCCTACTTCACACCATCCTGAGAATTTTCTGTCCTCCCTGAAATGAAGTTTCAGCTGAAACGTTGTAGTTTTGCGACACTTGGTACATCTGGTTCCCACAGGACTGAGGTGACACAGAAATACTTTTATGGTCTGTGTTGCTAAACGTCTCGACTGCACCTCATATGCAGCTGAACCTGACCTCAAGCCTGGGTCTTGCGTTTGGCACCTGGCACAGATCGTGCATACGTCTGATAATACAGATTTGGTTTATTTGTTTTTGTTAAGAGTAACACTCAAGTTATCGCACAAAAATCAAAGATGAAGTGAAGTTGGTGTGTGAGCTAACAAATAGTCTGAATGGTAGCTACAACGTTGCCTTTGTGCCGTCTTCCAAAGAAGTCTGATTGTTGGTTTGGTCTGGTTTGTTATTTGGTTTAAGATAGCAGTTAGTGACAGAACTGATGACCCATAAAATGAAACACATGTTGTAATAAATTGACCGTTTTTTAGTTTTTGGTTTGTTTTTTTGGGATGTATTGTCATGTACTGTTGTGTGAAGTATATGCATGTGCTAGCCAAAGGATCGTTTGCCAAGATCCAGCTATTAACATGTAGATATGCTAAGACTCGGCACAGTTTTTAAATGCATGCATGACTGAAGAACTGTAGCTTTGTGTAACTTTAGATAGTGGTCTTTTAAATGGTAGTGTGTCTTTTTAATTTATTTGGTTTTACAAGAAATTTGTTTTAGACCTCGTGTTTAAAGATGTGGAATCTACAGACTGTTGAACTGAGCCTAGTAAAAGGGATGGTTTGGTAAGTTTGAAGGAATACGAGGGGTACGAACTTACTTTTGAGGGATTCTGAGAATATGATAACAGTGCAGGAGGACAGAGCTACGTTTGTCTGCTCCACCAGAATACATAAGGGGGAGCCTTCTGCTCGGACATCCTGTAGGGCCCGGGTCAGGCCCGATTCCGCTTGAAGGTAGAGCATTTCCACTGACAGGCCACGCTCCTGCAAGCACTGGCTTAGCGATTTGGGGTAATCCCTTTGAGAGGAAGAGAAACACTTTGTTAACGTGACAATTCTATATTAAGCGACTCACCTCGTATAGGAGATACCCCGAGTTAAATCTGTGACGGAGCAAAGGGTGACTCCTTCATTTAAAATGTGCTTTCCCAACAAAAACAGTGTTTTATGTGAAGCTAACACAGATTTTCAAATCTCTCATAGGTGTGATTAGTGTTGTATTGTGGGTTTATTCTTAATGAGATGTTCGTACCGTAAATATTATAATACTAGTATTTCCTAGTGTCTTTGGGATACTGAGAAAGTCAAATAAAGTGCTGCATCAATTTATACTTATCAATAAGCATTTTATAACTGCCAGTCCATCTGTATCAACTGAGTCTCATAGTTAGCTTGAGTTATACTCCTGTGCTGAACCAATTCCAGTGGTTGACACCCTTGTGACTATACTAGTAGGTCACTTTATTAAGTACACCCTGCAAGTTCAACAAGGTGCTGGAAACCAATCCACATTAAATGTGTCCCCTAAAATCAGCACTCTCTCTGATCTGATGCTCAGTTTGAACTTCAGCAAGTCTTCTTGGACACGTCTGTATACCCAGTATAGGGTGCATGGCCGTGCCATTCAACACAGGAGTATGGCCTAAATCAAGCCTAAGCGGCCATATTTGTGATTCAAATTAATCGTTGCTTTTAGTGTAGAAGTGCGTGAAAATTGACTGATGATGTTGCAATCTTGCAGAGCATAAGGAGTGCAAGTTTTTTAGTGTGCTTTGACCGCTACTCTGTTAGACTTTTACCATGTGTAGAATGTCATGGTCGGGGGGTGGGGGGGTCCAATTTCACTGCAGGTGCAAACTTGCATGTGACAAAGGTTTGTTTGATTGATTGATTGATTACTGGTTTACAACTGTGGCAGTTTTTCAAAAGCATAAAATAAAGAGTATTTTAACAGAACGTGAGCCAAGTGGCACATTTGATATGTGCATTCAAGAATGTTTAACCTTCGCATGTATGTATCTGTTAATGTACTTCAATGCAAATCAGTGTGTAGTTGAACACTGAATTTTAAAGATGTGCTACATGACATTTTTTGACTGTGCATAAATGAATACAATCTTCGTTACTGACTGATCAAGAGACCAAAAACAAACAGCTGTTCCAACTTTATGTAAATGTGTTTGTGTGAGTGACAAAGTGAGGTGTGTTTTTGCTGGTGTTCACGTTGCTTCGTCTGTGGTTGTCAGTTATCACAACTAATTTAACAGACAATCATTCAACACAACACAGGAAGAAAACTACGTGTGCAAAAAAACCTGTGGGCTTTTACTTTGGTTTTTGTTGTTTTTTTGTTTGTTGCCATGGTGACAAAGCTTCACAGCAGACATCTGCATTGGAAATGTGGTTATATGAACACTTACACACAGGGTCTGCGTGTGAAACACTGTTAATACATCAACAAAAAGACTTTCCAAAGGGAACAAGAACCTAAACTTGAGTAGCCAGAACAAATTTGAAGTTACAGCACGTTAAATGTGAACAAAGCCTCGTAGCTGAAACGATTTGCAGCCTGCACAGCACACCAAGAAAGTAAAGAAAGGCAAGCAAAAAACTGACGGTGATAATAAAAGGATAAGATCTGATACAGAGTTATAAGTCCTTCTGCTCCTAACACTTTCATTGCCTCATACTTACTGACACATCAAAACAGCTTTCATCCAATAAGTCTCATCCTGCAGGGAACCAAAACTCCACAGTCATGGTCTGCAGCTGCTGCTGGAAGCACTCATTTGTTCTGCGGTCTCTGTGAGCTTAGCACAGCAGCACAAGAACCAGTCCTCCATCTGCTGCAGGCTCTGATTAAAGTGACCCTAAAGCTCACAGCAGAGCTCCAAAGCAGGAGGACGACTACTGTGGCCAGCTGCAGTCCAAGACGGTGCAGTTGACTCAATGACACTGAGAAACACTACAACAGTAACCTGGCCAGCAAGCCAACCGGTAGGGAAAACACCAGCCGGGGAAAGGTTGTTAGCATCAACTAAGATTTTAATATAAGACTGAGGAAGATAGAAAAACAAAAGATAATATGAGTCGGCACATATACTTGGGCCCGAGTGTGGGGAAACACTGAATGATATCAGTCTCCTCACGCTGATAGTAAAGGATAAACCAGCAAATTCTGTTGGCAATGAATAAATACTCACAGGCACTGTTTGGTAACAGAGAGAACCACGCAGTCGGCTGGCTTCCTCTCCTCCTGCACCTGTCTGTAGAACTTCTGATACAGCGTTTTACGTCTGTCTGCTGGAGTGCCACCCTCTGGTTTGGCTGGAAGTTTGAGAACGGTGACGTTGAAAGAGACTCGAAAAGCGGCAAAAATATTACTGCACTCTTTTCTTCTTTGGATCGATGTGTAATTAAGATTTTAGAGTATTTAAAAACATGTCTTGTGTAAAGAGTATCCCTTTTTCTCATACGGACAAAACAAAGAAACAAATCTCACCATTTGGCTGATGCTTGTAGCCCTCGTACTTCACACTTCCACTGTAGTTTTGGATTTGCTCTAGCTCTTCATAACTGAAAAAAAGCAGTGAAAAGTGTCATAACAGTTTAATATGGGAGGTATTTCTATGCCTCCTCTACGACACCTTAATATGACGAGCATATAAATGTCCAAAAAGAGATTTTCTGAAAGTGAGACTCAGAGAGCAAGTGCACGAAGGAGCCTGTGCGTCCGACATTCAGTGCATCAAAGTTTTAAGTTTCACTCAAACAGCTTTTTCCCCTCACAACACAGAAACAATAGCAGACTGTTGCAAACACCGTATTCCTGATGTCTTACTAAAACATTACGTCAGCATATTCTGACATTCACACTTTCAAAGGATTCACAGCTAAAGTGTTGAAATACTTGATTTTGTCATAGTTGACAGTAAAATTACATCCGTCTTCTGTCCCAAAGTACAGAATAGAGACTAAAGTATGGGATCACCCACACTTTAGACCCACGGGAGCTGCTCAGCTGCCGGAACCCAAACCCTGAAACTCCAGTTGCATGTCAGCACAGATGTTCATTGAGAAGTTTGGAAATCTGGAGTTGGTGAGTCAGCAGAGCGCAGTCGGTGACCCGGCTCTCTAACTTTACGTTCGTGACCGAGTGGCTGGTTGCTAAACTTTACAAAAACACATCTTACAGTTGACTGTGGAATATGTAGGAGAGAAGAAACTGTTGCAGTGACGGTATCCTATTATAGTACGACGCTCAAATTCAGCGTACTCGTTTGAATGACCCATCCCGTCACAAATGTTTGGAACGCCACAGCCAGGTGCACACACCTGTGACACCTCACTTAAAGATAAAAGGTGGGCCCCAATTCTTCCATCCATATAGCACATGCTCTACAGTGAACAGTGTGCAATATTTTTCTCATCAGGAAGCAGCAGTAACACGTTACTTCTATACTAGTCTGGTGACATGGCCGCAAAAAAGTCAGTGCAGTTTGCACAGAGCTCAGAACAGCTGCTTTCAGCTTATATACTCTAACTAAGCACTAACAGTTTTACAACACACACTAAAAACTAATGTTCAGGTAACTTCAGTTCATTTTACATCTATGATTCCAAACTACCAAGCTTCTATCAGTACCTGCTTTGCCTGTTGCACATGCAATTATGAACTTGCCCAAATAAAAGTGATTTCTGTGTTAAAGATGAGTCTACAACCTCGCTAGGCAGCTGAAACTGTAAGTGTACTCAAACTGGAGAGCTGCATTCAAAGTTTGGTCTAACCAGTTAAACCTGTAAACAAGATCCTAGAATTATTTGTTTCATGATTTACCTTCAGGGAGGAAAGAAAAGTCTGGCTGGGAAGGAAGTAAGATGTTCCCCAGTGCTGACATAAAGAGAGTTGGGCAGCTATAAGGAACTATTAAATATGACTTATAGCAACTTGGAGGCTTTAAATGCAGTTTTTATTTACTAAGACGGTGCATTTTCTTTCATCTAAAACAAAACCATGAATGACGTGTAGCACTACACACAGAAGTGAAGGTGCACAGTAAATCACTCATAATAAAGCTTTGGTCACTTTAAACCATTGCCGACAACAAAAAGGCTGCCCGAGGCTGGTACCTGTCCAGGGCATCCTTGAGCTCTTCGGTCCTCTCCTCTCTGGTTGGGTATGGAGCTGCCCTCCGAAACACACGCGGCTGTGGAGCACTACACAGCACAGGTGGCGGTTTATAGGGCCGCTAATTGACAGCGTTTCACGTTTATATATTATTGTGAGCTAGCAGCTAATGCTAACCTCGCTAGCCTGGAAACTCACCTTCCGTTAGGGTTACCGGATGGCCGCCGACCACCCGCAGGTGATTTCACCCAAGACGACATTTTGCCTGCCTTTAAACTTCACCGCAGCAAAAGGCAGCTTTAAAAACACCCAGAAAAAGACGCTCTCCTGGTGTTATTCCGCCAATGTTACCAGATACAGCCTGTGGTGATGAACGAGGAGGGGAAGAGCTCTTCTTCTGGCTTTACTGCTCTCACAGTGTGTAGGTGCACCATCGCCCCCTGCTGGACGACCCTCTAATAACATTAATGGTTGCGCCTTTGAAACTCCTAGCAGCTTCTAGCTCTTTGTTTACACATTAAAAGTGATTTGTAAACAAACAGGCAGAAACGAAACTACAAATTAACTAAATGTAGGTGTTAAATTTAAAATTGACAAATAATTAATAACTAAGGATGTAAAAAAATGAAATATAAAGTGATAATAATCGTGAAACACATATATTAGTAAATAAATATATGACATATAACTCCATTAATTAGTTGAATTAAAAATACAGATTTCAGTACAGCATTTACATTTGTACACTGCTGTTTATTGTCATATCAGATTGTTTTTCTTCTTTCTTCTGCTCCTTCAGATTAATAATCTCCCTCCATCTCACTAGCATGCATCTCTGTCACACCAACTCACAGCAAGTCCTCCTTTCTTTGTGGTCTTCCTCCTTTCTTCCTGCCTGTCAGCTCCGTATTCGCCATCCTTTGTAAAATACATGCACTGTCCTCCCACTGCACATGTCCAAACATACTTGAGTCCAAATAACTCAGTTTGAGTATTTTCTCTGATATTCTCCTTTACAATCCTGTCCATTCAGGTCACTCACATCACTCATTTGCCTCCTCTCCTCTTCATTACCTGTTTAGTTTTTCTTTCGCTGACATTTTCTAGCAGTACTCCTTTTCAAAATTATCCATGTAAAAAACAGTGACCACAAACAAACCCTGACCTTGCATATCAGGTTCACTCAAGTTACAGCAGTAAAGTAAAAACTGAGTATCACAAAAAAACAAACAGAAAACCAATACCTGGGTTGGTTTAATTAAGAGGGAAGCTGGAAGCATCTGTGAGGATACCACTTTAGGATTTTTCACTTTAATCAACACTCAGCAATCCAGGTGAATGATCTGCCTGTGGCTTTACAGATAATAGCCTGTCTGATCTTCAGTGAATCATAAGCACACCTGCATGTTCTTTTTATCTTTTAGAGAAAGCTTTGATTGCTTAGAAACAAATACGTTAATGGGGTTGGTTATGCTTCGAAAGATGTGACGACCATACTGTGTACTGTGGGTTGGAGGAGAGGGCCATGCCATCTGTGGTTACAGATAAGGAAGACAACCGAAGATAAAGAGAGAGCAGATTTCTCCTGTTTTGGCTTCCTGTTAAATCCAGAATTCAAAATCCTGCTCCTCACATACAAGGTCTTAAATAATCAGGCCCCATCTTATCTTAATGACCTTGTAGTACCATATCACCCTATTAGAGCACTTCGCTCTCGCTCTGCAGGCCTACTTGTTGTTCCTAGAGTATTTAAAAGTAGAATGGGAGGCAGAGCCTTCAGTTTTCAGGCCCCTCTTCTGTGGAACCAGCTTGCAGTTTGGATTCGGGAGACAGACACTGTAGATGTAGGCTGCCAGGGGATTCCCATGATGCACTGGGTGTTTCTTCTCTCTGCATTGAATCATACTTGTTATTAATCTCTGTCTCTCTTCCACAGCATGTCTTTTATCCTGTCTTCCTTCTCTCAACCCAACCAATCGCAGCAGATTGCCCCGCCCCTCCCTGAGCCAGGTTCTGCTGCAGGTTTCTTCCTGTTAAAAGGGAGTTTTTCCTTCCCACTGTCGCCAAAGTGCTTGCTCATAGGGGGTCATATGATTGTTGGGTTTTTCTCTGTATGTATAATTGTAGGGTCTACCTTACAATAAAAAAACCCCATTGAGGCGACTGTTGGTGTGATTTGGCGCTGTATAAATAAAAGCGAATTGAACTGAACCAGGTTGGATCTCCATATTCTTCTGTTTCCATATCCTGAAACTATTATCTAGGCTGCATCTGACAGTACCGTCCCAGGAGACTCCAAATCAGCTGCACTGAGTTGTGCAGCTGACTTGGGTGTGTATAGTCCCACGTTGCCTGTTTCTGGAAAGGTTAATATAGGTTACGACTGACAATGCAGCCCTCAAGATACCTTGAGACAGCTGCACACGTCAGTACAATGATCACATTATATTCCGTTCATCTCCAAATCTCGATTTGAGGACATATCATCAGTAACTGATGGTTCAGTGAGGTTCAACATTTTTAAAATTACCCTTGGCAATTGTATCAAAGTCCATCAGTCCTTGGCACGTGTCTCTTGGCCAATTTTGTTTTCAAATTTGCTGTTATTCAGCACGGGGAAAAGTCTATCTATGACCTTTTCTAATAACATACATACGTATGTTTTAGTTACCTTAATGAAGATATGTCTTCATGATGGCATGAGAATCAACAATTATTTTAAGTGTGCTATCGTGACTTGACTCAGAGTTCACCCGTGTTTTTCTTTTCCTTTCACTCCTCCTGTTGTTTAAACTGTTTGTCACAGAGCAGAGCCTTCTTAATTTCCACTGCATCTCCAGTTTGAAGCTTTTGTCCTTATTGCCCCCCTCTTTTTCAACCATTTTCTTTTTCAGAAGAACTTCCAGGGTTACCACATGAGCTTTAGTATGAAGCCCTATATTTACTGATGATTTATTAGAAGCTTGTGTTTTTCTTCAAGCTTTTTTCCCCCCTACTTCCTTCCTGTGTTGATCTTAAAACTGCTCATTAAGGGATTTATTATCCTCCTTTATCTCCTAGAAAGAAAGCATCTCTGAGTCCCCGAGCAAGTGTGTTTCAAAACATGAATTCAAATTCATTGTGTTCAACAAAATGTGAAACTCTAGACAAAAAAACAAGGACTCGATAAAAAAAAAGATGTTGAATACTTGGCAGTCGAACGAATGTTGGTTTTGATGAAGGAAACAATACCTGTCAGTCAAGATGGGAGCACACAAAGATGTTTCTGGACAACTATACAGCTAACATGTTGTATTATGTCAAGACTCGGTAAGATTTCACCTTAAGCTATGAATAAAAACATATTTTATCTTGTTTAATATTTTCAATATAATTCTATTTATGTTATTGGATAGTTAGATAACTAACGCTATCCAAACTTTGAGGATTGATTCAAGGATTTTTATTGTCATTCCAACACCTGTACTGATCAACAACAATGTGAACACAAGAGGAATATATGCAGAACCAAGGAACTGAACATGTTTACAACATGTGCAGCAAATAGCACAAAGACAGGCGATTGCTCATATCTGTTGCTTTTGGTTGGGAGTAGCAGATGGTAGAAAGCACCACCAAAGTTCAACCGTGTTAACTGTCTCTTAGTCTGGGAACTCTACCCTTGATGCTCCTGCCTGAGGGGAGGGGGACAATAATAGTGTGTGTCCTGGGTGACTATAGGCTCTTTCAAGATACAGCAGGTCCTTTTCCTGCATCTGCTGATGTAGATGTCCGTGGTGGTGGTGAAGCTGCTGGCAACAATCCTCTGTGCAGCTTTCATCACCCTCAGTAGAGTCTTCTTCCCTGTCACAGAGCAGCCGCCACACCACACAGTGATGCACGAACCACACATCTGCAGAAGGAAGGAAGGAAGTGTTTTGGCTCCAGGTAAAATCCTTGCTGGAGACCATTTTCACACCTGCTTCCCCACTTTCTGTGCCACCTGAAATCTATATCTCATTTATTTTCTTGACATTGACGCTGACACCAAACTGCCTTTCCACCTGCTTGTAGTCAGACCAACCTTGTAGGTATCTGGCCAACCCTGCAGGTGGGATCTTTTTTTGTTTAGCCGTACCATCCTTTTTTATTTACAAACTAATGAAACCCAAATCGTCCCTGAATTTACAACCCCAGTGACATCATTTTCATCATTACAAAAGAAACAGAAAGCACAGGCTGCAGAGCACCAGCCTGCTCACCTTCACGTGTGAAATTTGCGCAGGTCCCTTTAAAATGTATTCCTTCCTAGTTTAGGGGGGGGGGAAATCTGCACAGCAAACCTTTTTATTTAGATATTTTTAATATCGCCAGTTTCATTGTTTGTCGTATATAATTTCTTCTCTTTTATCGTTTTAAATGAATAAAATACTGACTGAATATGTGGCGGTTTCAGGTGTGTGTCGCGCGAATAAGTTCACGCACTCGTCTCTCTCGAACCGTGAGCGCGCCGCGGCGGTGACAGTCGCCATTTTATTTTGAAAATCAAACTGAATTGAAGGCACGGCAACCCTTCCATTTCGTCAAGTTTGTTCCGAGAAACAAAAAGAGATGAGGATCTGAATTACTTTATTGAGAGCACGGTGAGGCTTGTGATGTATTTAACAAATGATCGTGGATTGCTTTAGGTTGAGAAATTGGCACAAAAGCAGCGATATTAATACGGAGAATAGCCGTTAGCTCCCGGAGCGGGGGAGGTCTACTTGCTGAGAAACAGCTGTCATATTGGTGAACGCAAAAAAGTAAAAATTCCATAATTTAGCAAAGTTTTTCGTGTAGCGAAGGTACCGCTGTATACGTGTATTTGTTCAGGCAACACGTGAGATTTACGTTATGTCCGAAGACAGCAGTTTTAAGTAAAGTGTTAGCGATTCCATAAACTAGTCGGAGCCCGAAGAGAGAGCGAGGCTAGCGTTAAAAAGGTTAGTGCTAACGTTAGCTGACATGATCGCGCAAAACCCGTCCGAGTATTGCGCTCGCGGCCTTCAGGCTTCCGGCCAAATGTGGCGTTCCAAACCTTAGTAGTTGCTTACATAAACAACTTGTATCTGAATGTGTAAAAGGAATGCCATTTTATTCGATTCTGCTGTATTACAATAACCAACATGAAACGGGACTCACGTTGCCGTTAGCTTCACATTGCTAATGAGATAGCATTAGCCTGTACTCTCGCACCCGAGGCTGGTAATGGGTTAAAGTTGGTATTTAATCAGCGACGAATGGTATCGATCCGATTTAAATTCCCGTTTAGACTTGGCTGAGTAAACAATAATACATCTCATGTTTTCTGTTAATACAAAGCTAATATTCGGTGAACATAAGGGCTAACTGCTCCGTAGCAAGTGTTTATCAGCGTCATGGTGATAGTTA